GGCCCCGGGCCGTAGTGCTTTGCCCTTCGCTAAGGCACACTCGAGCACCACCCTGCTGGGGTGTTAAAATCCAAAAATAAAGGAATGCCCCAAGCTCAAAGCAGGGTCACCCGCTGAGCCTTCAGCAAGACCCCACCTTGCTACTCAGGGCCTTTCTTCACGCAGCCAGGCTTTAATCCGGGGGGGTCCCAAACTTTTTCCCCTGAGACCCACCTGTGCAGCTGCAATAGGCTCTGTGGCCCACTGTTTTCTTGAGGAAAATTATTAATTTTAATTATGACATACCTGTAAACTATATGTACCTGCAGGAGGCCAGTACTCACAGGTGCATCTTTACACACCCCTCCCACCCCTGGCCCTTCCGTGCTGCGACCTGAGGGCAGGTGCCACCCCTCCGCCCCATTGATGCCCAGCCCCCCTTCCCTTACAGAGCCGGGGGCAAAAGCCTTGACCTCACCCCCCAAATCAAGCCAAAGCTCCATGTCCCCTCCCCTTACCATAAGCAAGGTGCCCCTGGCTCTGTCCCCCAGGGGCACTGGTGGGAGGTGGTTGAGGTCCCTTGGTGTTGCTGATCACCAGGGGCAGGCGCGGCACATTCCTCTCAGCCTGGGACTGCCACAGCGCCAGCTCAGCCCGCAGGGCCCGGTTCTCCTGCAGCAGGCAGGGGAGCGTCCCCCTCCTGCTGGGGAGAGACCAGGAGTGGGGGGGCAGAGAAAGAAGACAGAACCTGATACCCCAGTCAGAGCAAGGGTCCAGCCACAGAAAGCCCCTGCCTGGCCCTGGGGCAGAGGGGTGGGGGTGGTGCGACACTGAGTCCAGGTTGGTCCAAGATGGAGGACACTGATAACAAATGGCTCTCATGGGGGCTGGAAGGGCTGGGCTGTGGCATATGAAGAGTTAAGGGTGTTTTGGAAGAGGTGGGGCAGCCCCTTTGTGGGGAGAAGTTGGGGTGTGTGGATGGAGTAAGGCAACCTAAACACCTTTGAGGATCTGGGCCTAAGAATCATAGAATCATAGAATATCAGAGTTGGAAGGGACCTCAAGAGGTCATCTAGTCCAACCCCCTGCTCAAAGCGGGACCAATTCCCAGCTGAGTAGTGAGAGAGACTATGGGCATCATGGGGACATACCCCCCACAGCTGCACCCCCTTTCCGGTGCCCCACTGCTGTTGCCTTCTGTGCACACCCCGGACGGATAAATCAATCAGGTTGTGGATGACGTCACATCAAGTAACAAGACGTAAAGTTAGTGGTAACAATTTGTTTTCCTGTTTGAAGTAGTAAACGCTATTTAGTTCATTCAAAAAGCCAAAACTAAGTTAAACTTTTTATTTTTACATATTACATTGGAGAACTATTTCACACAGCACCTGGTGTCTGAAACATACAATAAGGCTACAAACCATACGGCTCCTAGACAACAGCACCAGCTAAGGCTGGGATACATCACACAGAATTCCCGGAGGCCTCTAGTTCCTGGAGAGTTACAGACCCAAGACAAATGAAGTTACAGAACCAAGACACTCGTCTCTAGATAGTGAACAGCTCTATATGGAAGTTTTACGTTGGTTGGAATGAGATTAGAGCTGGTCAATTAGTGCAAATCACTGTTCATAAACAATTAGCTAGATTTCAAACCACTGTAGGATTCATCCATGCTAGAGCCCCGTTGTTAATGACTGGGGATGAAACTCCCCTCCCCCGCCCGTGTGCACAGAGACTGTAGGAGGCAGGTGCATCATTTCTGGTTTGTTTATGGGAGCACCCCCATGGACTAGGTACTTCCCAGTTATTCAAAGGGTTGGTCCCTGCCCGAAGGCGCTCACAAGCTCAGGGCGGACAGGGGAACGGAGGTTATAGAAACTAAAACAACAAATAGGAAATTTTAATGCCAGGTAACTGGATTCGCTGAAGACAGCGCAGCAGAGGAGGGTCTTTAGGGGTCTGTCTATACTGCACATTATGTCTGGGTCTGTGGGAGCTGGGCTTGTGGACTCGGTGTTTTCAGGCCCACACTTGAGCATCCACACTGCATCGTAAACGTGCATGCCCTCTCCCTCTACCTGTTTGTGGTGGATCTTCACTGACTCAGGCCTCCAGCCAAGTCATACACAGTCTGTCTGTGAGATAAAAGCAAAGCAAACCCCTTTGGGGTACAAGTTCACCTGGGGCCTCTCTTAATGCCCTCTGCAATGTCTCTCAGTTTGTCTCCGCTCCGCAATAGAGCGGTGTCTCAAGGCTCTTTCCCTGGAGGCAACATCTTCGCCCTCTCAGGGCCTTTCTGGCCCCAGCTCTGGGGTGCCTCAAAGTCCAGGCTACTTTCCCAGTGGCTGGTGGGGGGGACCTGGGCCCACCCTCTACTCTGGGTCCCAAACCAGGGACCCTATAGATAGCAGCCATCTGCAATATCCCTTTAAATACACCGCATTGCTGCTACAATTCCCTGGGCCACTTCCCTGTGGCTCCCACACATTCTTCTCCCTTAACTCAGAGCTTTGTCCTGGTGGCGTCCCAGCATCATTCACTCTCCTCCAGCTCTAGCAAGGAACTGGTCTCATTCGGGCCTTGCAGCTCTTCTTATACTAGCTTGCTGGGCCCTGATTGGCTGCTTCCCACACAGCCGCTCTAGGCACCTCTCTACTGCCCTTTTCTGGGGTGGGCTGTGGCAGGGCCACAAGGACTCCAGCAGGGGGTCTCAGGGCCTAGTCCACCCATCACACTTGGATGGGATCAGCATTATGTAGGTGCCAACCTACTGAGGTGGACACTGGACCTATGTTTTTATAAAGTGTAGTTTTTCTAAGGCTGTAGAAAATTCTCAGAATTTGACCTTATCTACAGACATGTTTCCCAGCCACCAGTGATTTCACTGTTTTTAATACTGTTTATGATGCCCTCCAACACTGTCACAGGGGTGTGATGCTGGTAGACCAGGTGCCTGCTCATGCCAAGGTCCCCATGTCTCACCTGAACTCTGACACATACATGGCTGGGACCCATCTGGCTCACCCGTGCGTTAGTGTTGTTAAAACAGGTATTAGAATTATAAGGATGTGTTGAGGGTTTACATTTTATTAAATGCTTGTGAGCTGCTGTCAGCATTAATCTCACTTATGGTGTCTGTATCCTGTATTCTAAGGTAATATTTGAGTGGTTGTATTGTGAGTCTCTGTGGGTGACTATGTAACTCACCTGACAGGAAAGAGACATTAAGTAGTATGAAGTGCCGCTCTGCGACTGAAGGTGTTACACCCTGCCCAACCAGAAAGACCCAATGACACCAGACGAACTATTGTGGAACATTAAAGAGGACAACGGACTTTGTTGTTCTGCTCTTCCCACCTGCGAAGAGGAGTCAGGCAAGGGGATTCCTCCCAAGAACTGAATTTGCAGCTCAGAGCACATGGGAGAAGGGGAATAAAAAACCCAATCAGAAGAAAGTAGGTATCTCTATAGTGCTTAGACTCTGCGGGGCAAGGCTTTCTAGGCATAAGCAAGTGGTCTACAATGCTTAGCCTGGGTTAGCCCTAAAGGTCATATAGCGCTCGCTTATCAATGCTTCTATTACTTTTGAAACTTAAGATTGTAACTCATTTGTGTGTATGCGTTTACTTGCTTTAGCCTTATAAATAATCCGTTATTTTCTTTTCCTATTTAATACATTTTATATAGTTTATTATAGGATTGGCTACAAGCCTTGTCTTTGGTGTGAGCTCTAAGGTGCCATTGACCAGGGCAAGTCAGACCTTTGGGACTGGGAGTAACCTGGATATTGCTGCGATTCTTGGTGCAAGGGACCATCTCTCACACAGATAAGCTCCCCTGGGCGGTGAGACAGATCGGCGTACCCCAGGGCACTGTCTGTGACTCCATGGTTAGGCTGTTACGGTGCCTGAGGAGTTTACACTTGATAATTGGTTGGTGAAATCTAAGTATAGACCTCACAGCCAATTTGGGGTTTGTGCCCTGGTTCCTAACAGTCGGTACGCACCCTCTTGTGTCCCTGCAGGCAGCGTTCTATTTAGAACAGAAGAAACTACAGTAACTCCTCACTTATCGTCGTTCTGTTCCTGAAAAATGCTACTTTAAGTGAAACCATGTTAAGCGAATCCAATTTCCCCATAAGAATTAATGTAAATAGAAGGAGTTAAGTTCCAGGGACATTTTTAAAATATATACACACATATATACAGTATACGTTTTAAACAAACAATTAAATACTGTACACAGCAATGCTGATTGTCAAGCTTGGTTGAGGTGGTGGAGTCAGAGGGTGGGATATTTCCAGGGAATGCCTCACTGCTAAATGATGAACTAGCACTCGGCTGAGCCCTCAAGGGTTAACACAGTGTTGTTAATGGAGCCTCACACTCGACAAGGCAGCAGGAATGGAGGGAGGAGACACAGCATGGCAGTGGCAGTTTCCCTGTGGAAACTGAATGTGCTGCTGAACCCAGGCTATCCCACGGGAGCACACCACTCCCTCCACTTTCCAGAGTGCCGGGGTGTGTGCATGTGTGTGTGAGACAGACAGACACACACACGGCCTGTGTGGGAGAAGGAGAGGGAGAGGGAGAGACACACACCGTGTGTGTGTGAGAAAAAGAGAGACGTGCATTGCCCCTTTTAAGTAGACCAGCAAGTTGAGACAGCAGCTGCTGGCAGCAAGCTCCCTCCATCCTGAGCCCTGTCGTGTCCCCTCCCCCTCTCACTCTGTGGAGATGGGGTACAGGAGCGGGGGGAGGGAGACACCCTGACATCAGCACCCCTCTTCTCCCCCCTCCGGCACAGCAAGCAGGAGGCTCCCGGGAGCAGCTCCAAGGCACAGGGCAGGGGCAGGGCACGGCAGTGGGGGGGAGGAACACCTGAACTGCCCAGCAATTGCTAGCCTGCTGGGCGGCTGCCGCACAGGGAATTTAGGGGAGCGGGGAGCTGATAGGGGGGCTGCCGGTCCACCCTGCTTCCAAGCCCCCACCAGCCAGCTCCAACGGGCTGCTCTTCCTGCAAGCAGTGGACAAAGCAGGCGGCTGCCAAACAACATTGGGCAACTTTAAACAAGCATGTTCTCTGATTGGTCAGCAACGAAACAACGTTAACCGGGTTAACTGAGGAGTTACTGTATTTAGAATAGAATAAACCAGAGTCTTGACATCTGTTCCAGCCTATCTCCTGAAAGTAGGCCACATTGGTTCATATTCCTGTCACGCTATTTCCTCCTATTTCTATGTCTGTCTGCTAGCAATTGGGCAATGTTCTTTTTTAGTGTTATCATGTTTTCTTTCATTTGGCCACTTAAATTTTCTTCATCCTCAAGTTCATTCTGTAAATTCTGGAGAATATAAAGGACAAGCTCGCTATCATATCTTTGCAATTCACCAGGTAAATGCTGCATTCTGTCGGCCACATAGCTGACCAGCCTTTCGTCGTCTGTAATCTTCATCACAACCTTTAAGTCCTCTCGATGCTTCAAGAAGTTCGTAATGTTTTGGGTTTCCGCTTCGCCAATATAATTGTGACACAAACTGAAAAGGCAAACGAAACGATTATCAGGTCTCTGCTTATAACGTCATTCAGCCGCACAAAGAGCCATGTCATTGACTCTTTGGGAGATGGTGCGGCCTAAATCCACAAACATGGCCATTTTTCCAGCCAGGTTCCAGAAACGCGGTTGGTTGCCCACCATTCTGCTTTCCTCCTTCACGTTTGGGTTTATTTGTTCTGCCATCCCACAAGCAGGAAGTGCAGTGGGTTTCCTGCACCTGCTCCTGTGGCTTTACTCAGTGTTTCTGGCAAGCGCTTAGAAGTATTAATTGACTAACCTTCTACTTTAAAATGAACCTTAAGAAAGAACAAAACATTAAAACAAGCATTTATATCGAAACTGAAACTGAGGGAATATACAAACCAAAGAATTAAAAGCTATGGTTCCCTCCTTTTTGGAAGCAACATATTACAGTTTTTTTATTTTCAGAACAACTTTTATTGATGAGAAGGAAAGGGGTAATTTTACATTTCCTTTTGATGTGTAAAGAGTATTTATCTTTTCTGTTTTTAACAGACACACACACGGTATAGTGGAGGGGAGGGAAATACGGCTTTTGATGAGGTCTTTGGAAAACTGGATGCCAGGTTAGTCAGATCTGGATGCTTTGGCTGGCAGGTTGACCACAGCACCTCTTGCTTGGACTTTGCTTTACGTTTTGGTTAGGGACGTTACTTGGGGTTTGGGGTTTTTTTAAGACCGGACAGGACTGTGGTTATTTTAGGTTGCTGTGCTGATGTAATGTCGTTGATTTCAGGAGCGAGAGAGGGACAGGACAGAAGGAAAGAAATACCAGGGCAGAAAGTATCACAACAGGGAAGGGCGGCAGCGCAGCAGCTCACGTGCCTTTGCGCAAATTGCCTTTGCTGGCAATTAGGTATTTTTATTGATGGGCTGGGGACCGGGTGTTGCGATGCTTCTTAGGCCGTGCAGGTGAAAAGCAAAGCTTTAAACAACAGCAAGGGCGGCTGGCCTTCCTCTTGGGAAGACAGTTTTTCAGTGGTGTTTTTTACTTATTCTGAGGCTAGGGAAGATGAGCTGAGCTGACCTGGGATACAAGATGGGATGGGAGATTAAAGTAACCCCAAAAGGGGAAAAGTGAGCAGCATCGTTTATTTCCTTATTATTTTGTTTAGAAATTAGGCCCAATATTTGCCACACCGATTTTGGTTCATTAATCTTCGGCTTCACATTTTTTTGTTCTTCCAAAGCATGATTCCAACAGTCCTTGAATGAGATTAGGGCGACCTTTTTGTTTGGACTAATTTGTTTTTTTGTCTGGGGTTTTGTTTGTTTGTTTGTACTTGTTTATGATGTTTATTATTGAAATAACATTAACTTACTTTTTATTAATATGTATTACAGGCCATTGTAATATTTTATGAACGTTTATATATATATATTTTATAATTGAGTTTATAATTATAGTAAATTTGTTGGCCCGATTATTATAACATAATCCTTTTTAAAAAATGAACCAATTCTGCCTAGGATTGAATATTTGTTCATAAAACTAAAATTACAAACAAAAACTTTATTTTAGTTTAAGCATTTAGAAAAATGGGGGGAAAAGGTACTTGGTTATATTTTAAGGCTTGCAAATTCCTTATTTTAAAATTAGGATTTACAAATTTTACCTGATTAAATATTACAAAAAGTTATAATTAAACTTTTTAGATGTTAATAAAGCTCAAGAATTTACCAGCTAAAACCAAACTTAAACCTGCTGCTATGATATGTCTGTAAGATGTTTAAGAACGAATTAGCTTGTATTATTTTTGTAGGTTGTATGCTCAGAATGGGCAAAGATGGAATTCCCCCCCCTTTTTTTTTTCTTGCTTACACAGTGCGAGCTGTACATTTACACAGATGATGAAAATTTTACGCAATAGTGGTTAAACTTGCTTACTTGGAGAAAAAGCCCTGATGACATATTACCCAAGTGTGTTGTCTTCTTTAAAAAGAAGCAACAAAATGATGGAATTTTTTAACCACTTTTTGCATTTGCGAGCCATTGGAACACCCAAAGGTGGCAAAAACAGGAAAAAAGAGTTATGAAAACAAAACAAGAAGAAAAATTGCAAAAACAAACCAATTAGAAAAATTACCAAAAAGTTTGGTGTTGCAAGAGCTCTTGGTTTTGGTGGTTTAAAATTTAATTTACCATTAATGCAGTAGCAGTTTTGAATTAAGCTGGTATTTTGTTAACAAGGAAGGATTACCCACGATTTTATTTTAGTATGAGTTTGCCTTAGCAACTAATAATTTTAAATACTTTAAGTTTTACTATATTTGTTTTTTAAAATACTTCATTACAGTTTTAAAATGATTACTGATTATGAAAACTACAAACTATAAAATAAAAGAAAAATATGAAACAAAGCATTTGTTAAAAGATTTTTTTAAAAATATTAATTTTAAAACAAGTGTTAAAAAAAAGTTATTAAAAGCAAAATCATTATCGGTTTACTTTCCATGCTTATTTTAAACAAGCTGAACATATTCAAAAATGTTAAAACAAGTTTCTGGCAGTCAGAGGTTTAGGGACACCCAGATTATGGGGTTGCATCCCTGACCATCTTGGCTGATAGCCATTGATGGACCTGTCCTCCCTGAACTTCTCTAGTTCTTTTTTGAAACCAGTTATACTTTTGGCTTTCACAACATCCCCTGGCAAGGAGTTCCACAGGTTGATTGTGCATTGTGTGAAAAAATACTTCCTTCTATTTGTTTTAAACCTGCTGCCTATTAACTTCATCGGGTGACCCCCAGTTCTTGTATTCTGTGAAGGGGTAAATAACACTTCCCTATTCACCTTCTCCACACCAGTCATGATTTTATAGCCCTCTATCATATCCCCCTTTAGTCGTCTCTTTTCCAAGATGACCAGTTCCAGTCTTTTTAATCTCGCCTCATATGGAAGCTGTTCCAGACCCCTAATCATTTTTGTTGCCCTTTTCTAATTCTAATATATCTTTTTTTTTTTGAGATGGGGGCAACCAAACTGCACACAGTATTCAAGATGTGGGCGTACCATGGATTTATAGACTGGCATTATACTATTTTCTTTCTTATTATCTATACCTTTCCTAATGGTTCCTAATGCTTTTTTGACAGCCATTGCACAATGAGCGGATGTTTTCAGAGAATTATCCACAGTGACTCCAAGATCTCTTCCTTGCGTAGTAACAGCTAATATAGACTCAATTTGTATGTACAGGTGGGATTATGTTTTCCAATGTGCATTACTTCGCATTTTTCAACAGTGAATTTCATCTGCCATTTTCTTGCCCAGTCACCCAGTTTTGTGAGATCCCTTTGTAACTCTTCACAGTCAGCTTTGGACTTAACTAGCTTGAATAATTTATTATTTTCTGCAAACTTTGCCACCTTACTCTTCATCCTTTTTTCCAGATCATTTATGAATATGTTGAACAGCACTGGTCCCAGTACAGATCCTGGAGGGACACCACTATTTACCTCTCTCCAATCTGAAAACTATTTATTCCTACCCTTTGTTTCCTGTCTTTTAACCAGTTACTGATCCATGAGAGGACCTTCCCTCTCATCCCATGACAGCTTACTTTGCTTAAGGGCCTTTGGTGAGGGACCTTGTCAAAGGTTTTCTGACAGTCCAAGTACACTATCTCTACTGGATCATCATTTGTTGACCCCATCAGAGAATTATAATAGATTGGTGAGGCATGATTTCCCTTTACAAAAGCCATGTTGACGCTTCTCCAACAAATTGTGTTCATTTATGTGCCTGATGATTGTGTTCCTTACTAGAATTTCAGCCAATTTGCCTGGTACTGAAGTTACGCTTACCAGCCTGTAATTGCCAGGCTCACCCTTAGAACCATTTTTAAAATCAGCATTACATTAGCGGTGGACATTTGGTGTAGAAGTGTGTTGTCTGGAGAAGGCCACTGGATAAAGCAGAAGACGGAAGGCTGATGTCACTAGGAGGGGCAGAGTTAAGGTGGTCAGGTGTCTCCCTTAGAGAGGAATACAGTGTATACACTATTAAATGGCAAATCCATTTTCTTGCTTGTGGGTTTGTGTCAAGTGTGGTGTGTGTAACCATCTTATTTTTTGTATATCAATTTTCTACAGTTGTTGGCCTAGGTTGGTGTAGATGTGTTGGCGCAGGGTAAGAAGTGCAGTCACTCACTAGTAAGATTTTCTGCGCCCCTCGTTGGCTCACAAAACTTCCTATGTTCTAGGACAAAGTCTGACAGAAGTCGTGGCTCCTGACAGAAGATTTTATCCATACGACAGATTTTATCTGACAAAGATTTTTTCCGTAGGTGCATAAACTTTCAGTTGTGACAAACAACAGCTAAAAATGTCCCTAAATCTCATTGTAAACCCTCACCGAATTACAGCTTGCACCAGATCTACTCAGGACACGCCTGTCTACCACATTTTGGGCATGCTAAATGCTTTAAAAAAAAATCAACAATGAAAGGTCAGACTGCCATGGACAAATTTCAACCAGAGCCCAAATTCAAAGACTTCCCCTTAAAAAGTTATGAACAGAAACCAAGCAAAATTCAAATTGAATTTACACAGAAAATTCAAAAGGCATAAAACTAACCCTGTGGGAAATTTGTTACCAGACCCCCAAAAATAACCCAACAATGCCTTCTGCGCTCTTTGTTTCCTGAAAACTCTTCAATGTTAATGTTGCAGTTATGCATATTTACCCATCTCCTCCCCACCCATCATGTCACCAAATCATAGTTTTATGTAGGAAGTCTTTTGGTTTTTCCTGATTATTATTAATACTTAGCATATTGTGATAGACAGCTAAGGTTTTTTTCTCCCTTCTGTTTTTGATGCCATTTTCCAATTTCTTATTTGTGAAAGAGAATGCTCCCTGAAAAAAAAAAAGTTTTCCATAACAAGATATTTCATGTTGCAAAAACTCACCAGACTTCTCTGCTGCTCCCTATTACAGAAGATAACTGCTCCAGTCCTGCATCTCCCAGACCGCACCCTCTTAGGTCTACTTTGTCTAGAGTGGTTTTCTCCAGACTGTACTGCAAGGTTCCAACGTCTGCAGCACTGAGGAGGGTGTTATACAGAAAAATGTGCTCAAAGCAGCGAGACACATATTCTGTGAGAGAAGCATCGTGCAGTTCAAAAATGCAAAGGAGAAGGTTTCGTGTAGTCGTTTGACTAAGGTCTCTCGCAACGCGGTGTTCGAACCACTTCAGAAGGGAGTTTTTTATAGCACCATTGAGTGGAACCGGATCATGCAAGAGGCTTTCAGTGCTTCTGTAAGGCAAAAGGCCCATGAAAAACCTGATGAAATTGTGCAATTTTTCCACATGATTGAGTGTGACTTTCTTTACGAGACTTTCCTCTTTGTAATTTGCAAGGATATACCCTAAAACCCAGGCATCCAGGCACTGTTTAAGCTCCTCCTCCTCCTGGATTTCCCGGACACAGTACAAGGCAGCAAACATGTCCCTTGCACCATTATGGCAATATGCAAAAATTTCACCACCTCTCTCCACCTGAGAGATGAAACTGGAAAAGCACTTTGTGAGAAGTTTGGGATCAATATGACATCTCTCAAGATCCTCTCTCTTTATTTCCTGTACACCAACGAGCAGATGCTCATAGGAAACTTTCCCCAGTCAATAGATAATTTCTTTAACATGCTCTGGAAGTTCTAGCGATGGTAGAAGGCCAATTGTATCCGTTTCACCTGATTCTATGCTCACACAACAGTTTTCTTTACTTTCTCCACGGCTGATCAAAACACTGTTGTGTTCCCTGATACCACGACTTTTGGAAATTTCCATCAGTGTGTCCCGTAAGATTTTGATTTGAAGAGGAAATAAGTACAATGCCAACAATTCACACCTGCTTGCTGAGTTAGAGTTAGGTTTCAATGTCGGATTAACTAAAGTAAATGTATCATAGTATTGCTTAATATGATCAGCAGTGCATCTAATGATAACAAATAAATAATTAAAATGCTTGCAAATTTCACTCACTGCATGAAACTGAGCAGACAACAAAACATCTATGTCTGGGAGAAGATTCCTGGTTATGAGTTTGGAGAGCAATGTATTTACAGGCAAGGCATCATCAATACAATATCAACTTTTCTACTACTGTGGTACTGGGTGTAGTTCAGATCATACTTGAACTCATTCAGTCCATCGAGAATAATTAATATTTGGTTGTTATTGAGTATATCTGTAAGAACTGGAGATAGCTCTTTGCACTTGTATTGCAGGAGCTCTTTGCATACTGATTGGATTCTCAATGGAGTTCAAGTCACTAAACGGTATATAAATCACGCCGCTGTAGAATATCTTGTTTTTTCCTGAAGCCCATTTCTGCAGGAGCCTTCTGGAGATGTAGCTTTTCCCCGTTCCAGCACCTCCCACCAGTAACATCCACGTGGAACGTTGCTCTTGGGTAGTGAAGAGGTCTTCTGAATGAACGGTATCCACACGCTCCTGGCTTCTGTAAATATAGTTTATTATTTCTGTAGCTGTGTGCCGCTTCTTCTCTTTTATAATGATAGTTTGGTTTAAAATGTGACCCGAATCTCGTTTCCTGCAGAGTTTGATTGTCTTACGAATCGCTTCTCTGTAACGTTCAAGAGCTTCTGCAAGATAAAAAGCAAAATTAGAGGAAGTATCTGGGGTCTGAACAAGATACATGTTTCTGTATTAGATAGTCACAGATAGCAACCACAATAGTTAAGGCTGCAAAACAGTTTCCATTCTAACTCCCAGTTTTCCCATTCTATCTTCTGAAATGTGCTACCTTTTGAAACAAAATTCTTCATGCTTTGCCCCGTGCCTAAAGAAGATAAACCTACCTACCAACCAACCATCTATCTTGAACAATCATTTTTTAGTTGAGTACTAGGCAAAAAATGTGGCCCACTTTGAAAAGATATTCCTCCCACATCTTGTTTTCCACGCAGATAAGTCAAAAACAGTTCAACTTTGAAACTTCAAAGTTGGTAGTGAAGGAATCATTATAAGGAGTGCAGTTTTGCTATGTTTAAAGAAATCAGTTGCAGTCTAAGTGACTGAAAAAAACACTTCAAGCATTCTCAGTGGCATCTTAAACATTTTTAGAAACAAAACACGGCGCGGACTGTTTAAAGAAAAAAGCTGAGATCACTTGTAAGGCTCTCACAATGCTAGCTCGGCTATAATCCACATGTTTTGTCTGCTTAACTGTGTGACTAATCACAGAATCATAGAAATGTAGGACTGGAAGCGACCTTGATATATCATCTAGTCTAGACCCCCATACTGAGACAGGACTTGTGGTTCTCAACCAGGCGTACGCCTACTCCTGGGGGTACAGAGAGGTAATCTGGGGGTACTCAGCTTCTCTAGATCAAGTGTTTCTCAATCTGGAGGCTGCAACCTCCAGAGGGTTGCATTGTGGGTGGCAATCAGGGGCCCCCATGCCACAGGGGGCCCCACAAAGCTAAGTTACATGCTTCAGCGTTGTGTGACGGGGCTCAGGCTTCAGACAAGGCTCACAATTGAAAAACAGGCTCAAGTATTGCACTGAAACGTAAGTACAATATCTATATTCCAGTCAATTTATATTAGAATTATATGGTAAAAATGAGAAAGTCAGCACTTTTTCAGTAAGTGTGGCTGTGACACTTCTGTATTTTTGTGTCTGATTTTATAAGCGAGCAGTTTTTAAGTGAGGTGAAACTTGGGGTACGCAAGACAAATCCGATTCCTGAAAGGGGGACATTAGCCTAGAAAGGTTGAAAACCACTGATCTAGACCATCCCTGAGAAGTGTTTGTCTCACCTGCTCTTAACAACCTCCAATGACTGAGATTTCACAACCTCCCCAGGTAATTTGTTCCAGCGCTTAACTACATAATAACGGTAGACCAATGGTCCATCTAGCCCAGTATCCCATCTTCTGACAGTGGCCAATGCCAGGTGCCCCAGAGGGAATGAACAGAACAGGCAATCACCGAGTGATCCATCCATTGTCGACCATTCTGGCAAACAGAGGCTAGAGACACTCAGAGCATGGGGTTGCATCCCTGACTATCTTGGCTAATAGCCATTGATGGACCTATACTCCAGGAACTTATCTAGTTCTTTTTTGAACCCTGTTATAGGTTTGGCCTTCACAACATCTCCTGGCAATGAGTTCCACAGGTTGTGCATTGTGGGAAGAAATACTTTGTTTTAAACCTGCTGCTTATTAATTTCATTGGGTGATCCTTGGTTCTTGTGTTACGAGAAGAAGTAAATAACACTTCCTTAGGCACTTCCTCTACACCAGTCATGATTTTATAGACCTCTATCATATCCAAGCTGAAAAGTCCCAGTCTTTCTAATCTGTCCTCGTATGGAAGCTGTTCCAGACCCCTAATCATGTTTGGTGCCTTTCTATTTCTTTTCCAATTCTAATATATCTTTTTTTATATGGGGTCACCAGAACTGCATACAGGTCTAAACCTTCAGTTAGGAAGTTTTTCCTAATATCTAACCTAAATCTCCCCTGCTGAAATTTAAGCCCATTTCTTCTTGTCCTGGCCTCACTGGTTAAGGAGAACAATATATCACCTCCTCTTTATAACAATATTTTACACACTTGAAGATTATTATCAGGTCCCCCCTCAGTCTTCTCTTCTCCAGACTAAACAAGCCCAATTTTTTCAATCTTCCCTCCGAGGTCATGTTTTCCAGACCTTGAATGATTTCTGTTGCTCTTCTCTGGACTTTCTCCAATTTGTCCAGATCTTTCCCAAAGTGCGATGCCCAGAACTGGACACTGTTCTCCAGTTGAGGCCTTATCCGCATGGAGTAGAGCAGAAGAATTACATCTTGTGTCTTGCTTACAACACTCCCGCTAGTACATCCCAGAATGTTTGCTTTTTTTGCAACAATATTACCTCGTTGGCTCGTATTTAATTTGTGATCCACTATCACCCCCAGATCCTTTTCTGCAGTACTGCTTCCTACGTCATGTCCTAGTAACATGGGTTTTGCATTTATTGTCTTTCTTCCCTTTCCCTTCCAAGGCATCCTTGCGCCACTGCTGCCGTAACAGTACCAAAGAACTCAGCGCAACATTCATTATGCAATCACTGTTGCACTCTGTAGTGTAAATGGCTGCTGCAAAGTTCCATGTGTGAAAACAAGAGAATCCGAGAGCGACCAATGAGAGGGGCTGGATGGGGGACGGAGCCAGAACGGGGAGGTGCAGTATATGAGGAACCCGGGGGCAAGGAGGGAGGGGGGAAGGGGAGCTGGGACAATAATGACTCCCCCGGAGGGCTAGAGATGGTGGGATTTTGGGGAGAGGAGGCAGATGAGTGACTGGGGAGATGTAGCTTGTGGCTAGCTAGGGGAAAAAGTTGGTGGCCAAAGAGGAGCTGTTGCTGGGGCTCTAAACTTGCACGGCAACACTGCTGCCAAGCTGTAAAGCAGGATAACAGTGCATCTGCTCAGCGGGTCCCTGAGCTGGGCAGAGCTCACGAGGGAGGGAGTGCTCCCTCTCACCGTGTCTCTATCGCTATTGGCCAGACCCTGCCAGCTTAAACCACATCAGGCGCCCCATTAGCTGTCACTAATATTAGACGTTCCTTCCTCTGCGGCCCATCTGACACTAGAGGGACCTCCTATCACACACACATGTCCGGTTCCTTCCAATAGAAGGCAGCAGGATGTGTATATAGATGTGTGCGCGCGCACACCCCCATAAGTACATTAAAGGTGAAAACCGACAGGGTTTACAATCCCATTAGCCATCCCCTAACAAGTATGCAAAATTTGCAGCATTTAGGTAAATTACCGCCGCCGCTTTTTTTTGCCAGTAAATCGGGTAAATCGACCTCTTTCGCCACATCCTTGAGTATCTCCGTGATACCTTGAGGGGATGTTCCTTTGTGGACATATTGTCCGATATATGTATCCTTACATACATATAGGGTCCTGAGATTAACTTTAAGGAACTGATCTTGGAACATAACTGGGGACTTTACAGTATTGGTAGTTGGTGATTGCAGCTGTCAGTATCTGCCCCAATCAGCTGCTGAAGGCAGGGTCCTGGAAGTAAGAACCCAGTGAGATCCTCCCTCCTGGGAAGAATTGGAGATAAACTTCCTGGCTGGATTTGGCGCTTCTGATGTATAGCGAGATCTACTTTCTATTATTGAGTCCATTGTCCTCCCTCAAAGAGTATTTGTAGCAGCTGCTGTTGGGATGGCATTTGTAATACAGGAAAAACTGTATTGCCTGGGACCTTGGGATAGCAACCTAACCCCGTCCTACAGACAGCAGACACGCAACAGGAAGGTGCTACATGGGACACCCCTTGTCTGGTACCTGTGGCAATGCAGGTCCCAGCCTACCCAAATAAATGCTATCTTCATTTCAAAAACTATTTACACTCCTTATTGCACATACCGTCGGATTTGGTGCTCCGGTGCTGCTGTTTAAAGGCCTGGAGACACCATATCACTAACAGGAGCAATGGGAAACCAATAAGGCTGTAGTGAGTTCTTCCATGTTTTAGATGAACTCCTTCCTCTGCAAAAGGGTAAAGATCTTTAGAGAAATGGAATAGCTTTCCATATTTCAAGTATAACCCAATATATTCCTGATGTGACATATAACCAGAAACTTTGGTATGGGATTAAACTTTTCAAAAGTGTAGAACAGACCATTGTCCGTCTTGGTTTTTTCCACTCGGACTCAAACACATTGCAAGGGATACATAGGACAGGGCCGGCTCCAGGCACCAGCTTAACAAGCAGGTGCTTGGGGCGGCCAAGGGAGAGGGGCGGCACATGCGGCAATTCGGGGGCGGCAGGTCCCTCACTCCCTCTAGGAGCGAAGGACCTGCCGCCGAACTGCCGCTGCCGATCGCGGCTTTTTTTTTTTTTTTT